TTATTATTATTATTATTATTATTATTATTTATTATTATTATTATTATTATTATTATTATTATTATTATTATTATTATTATTATTATTATTATTATTATTATTATTATTATTATTATTATTATTATTAATTATTATTATTATTATTATTATTATTATTATTATTATTATTATTATTATTATTATTATTATTATTATTATTATTATTATTATTATTATTATTATTATTATTATTATTATTATTATTATTATTATTATTATTATTATATTATTATTATTATTATTATTATTATTATTATTATTATTATTATTATTATTATTTATTATTATTATTATTATTATTATTATTATTATTATTATTATTATTATTATTATTATTATTATTATTATTATTATTATTATTATTATTATTATTATTATTATTATTATTATTATTATTATTATTATTATTATTATTATTATTATTATTATTATTATTATTATTATTATTATTATTTATTATTATTATTATTATTATTATTATTATTATTATTATTATTATTATTATTATTATTATTATTATTATTATTATTATTATTATTATTATTATTATTTATTATTATTATTATTATTATTATTATTATTTTATTATTATTATTATTATTTTATTATTATTATTATTATTATTTATTATTATTATTATTATTATTATTATTATTATTATTATTATTATTATTATTATTATTATTATTATTATTATTATTATTATTATTATTATTATTATTATTATTATTATTATTATTATTATTATTATTTTATTATTATTATTATTATTATTATTATTATTATTATTATTATTATTATTATTATTATTATTATTATTATTATTATTATTATTATTATATTTTAAATAAAATCAAACGATATTTTTAATCAGTTTTTAACCGAATGGTTCGGTACGGTTTAGTTCGTGAAAATTGAACCGAATTGTCCACACCTAAAGTTAATTACTAAAATGGTCCCTTTAACTATAGAAAAATTACAAATTTGGTCCCAAGTTAACAGAAGTCTAACGGCACAACTAACAGATGACCAAATTGGTTAAAATTTTTAAAGTTGAGGACTTAATTGGTCAAAAAATAATAGTCAAGGACCAAATTGGTAATTTTGCTATAGTCAAGGGACCATTTTGGTAATTAACTCTTTTATTTATTTTGTAAAGTAAAAAATTTGTAACGGTGTAAGGGTACTTTTGTCTAAAAAGAATCTAGTATGGACAATTTTGTCTATTATAATTGAAGTGTACAACATTTAATGAAAAATGTATACCTTTACTAGCATACAAAAAAATGACAAAAATCAAGGATATAACCATGATTGAGACTTATTATGTTTTTAGATTTAGATTTACATAAAATTGCATATTTGCTACTAGTTATAGCTTTTGACGCAAGTGATAACTAATAACAAATGGTATCAAAGTCAGGTTACTGATTCGAGTCCCAACAATAACATAAAAGGCCAATGCCATAACAAGGGCATAGGCCGGTAAAAGGCCAAGGTCATCACATTTTAAGACTGATTGGTGCAGGCCAATTGCGTGTTCGCTACTAGCTATAACTTTTGACGTGATAAGCACTTGATCTTAACAATAATTTAGTTATACTATTTTAATTTTGCTACCTTATATCTCTAGCTTCCATTTTCTTTATTACAATTACTCTTTCATTTAGATTCATGCCATTTTACTGTTAATAGAGAGAGCAAACAACATATAATTTCATCATTCAATTTTTTTAAAACATATATGTAAGAGGTCCTTGTGCTCAGTTGCCACCTATGTGGCTCTCAATGAAGAAAGATCATATGATTAAACCTCGATGGTGGAATATTAACTTTTTTGCTACAACAGTTAGAAAAATATATTAAACAAATACTACATTATAATAGAGTCGATAGTACTACATATATATCTTAATTAAATTGTATGTTACTATCTTTCGTTGCTGAGTGTAGAATGAAAAAAATAAAAGTTAATGATGTAATATAACAAAATTAAAATAATAATAATAATAATAATAATAATAATAATAATAATAATAATAATAATAATAATAATAATAATAATAATAATAATAATAATAATAAAGCAAATAACCATATATATAACCTTAATAAAAAAAAAAAAAAAAAAAAGGCGCACGGGATGCCTAGCGTCTTTTTCAACACTGAAAATAATAAAATTTTAATTTCTATCAACAAAAAATGTAAAAGTGCAAGGTGGATGGACAGCGGCACCAAAGTTGTCCGCTCGTCGTTGTGGCACCTCACAGCAAACCACTGACCGTGGTGTGGCTGTAGGCAATTGGTCGAGGTAGTGATGACATCAGGCATGGTTAGTTTGGCCAGGTGGGGTTGGGTAACCACGGACCTGGTTGCCTAGTGAAACAAACTGAATTTACGCACAGCTTAGCCAAACTCAAAACCGCTCCGCCTACCTAGAACACAAGACATCAACTCTTCGCAACACTATACTTTCTGGGCTTTGTGTATAGGGTAAACAAGGGACAAATGCACTAAGATTGACCCACAAAACATTTGTATTGCCAAGCAATTTAAGCAATTACAATAAGATCTCAGCCTCACGCCTCTCGACTACCATCTTAAGCTATCATGGTTGAGTATCTATACATGGTAGTGGTTATAAGCCAACCGCCTAGCCAAAATTGAATAAAAATGGTCTAGAGCACTCACTAGCAAAATTGTTTAGATCCCACATAACCAGCCCGCTAAGCCTTACTTTTAAGAACCGTCCAGTCGCACAACTGTGCCAATCTTGTGCCAATCTTATGCAAGGAACACTTAGCGAACCGCTCCCAACCGTCGCACATGCTTTAGCGTTTTCTAAGGGCATTTACCAACTGTCCACTAATCGTCTTGGTCGCACGCTCAGACTTGGTTCATCACGGCGTGCCAAGTCTCGCACCAATGTCGCGCCTTGTCCAAACCAAGCTCACACTTGCGCCCACGAGACCAAAACGAAGTCCTGTCGCGCTAAACCAAACCAACAATGACCTTGTTATTATCACATTAATTATATTATAATTAATTAGTATTAATGAAGCGGACTTTGTAGTCTAATGGCACATGGGTTGGACTTTCATATGGGAGATTGTGAGTTTGAGTTTCATATGATACTATATACTATATTGTAATATAGTTAATAGCATTCATGAATTTTGTAAATGATGTATACTCTTTTTTGCATTTATTATAATTCCGACATATAAGCACTAATTTGTTGGAGAAGAAAAATAAATGAAATACTTATTTTAAGGATAAAAATATCTATTTCACATAAAAGGGAAAAAACTATCCTAATGTGGATACATAATAATTTATAAAGAAAAAAATGATATATGCATATAATTTTTTTTTAGGGGGGGGGGGGGGGGGGGGGGGAGGAACCGGAAATGACCATTTCCCCTTAAAATTGTAGCCATGTACGCAATATATTTAAATAAAAGGTTGGGACCGATATTGACTCTTTGTGTTTCAATAGGTTGAGAAACTAGTTATGGACAAATACTATATTGTAACATAGTCAATAGTACTACAAAAAAATATAAAAAAATAAAGGCAGAAGTGTCAAATAGGTCTATCTACTATCGCAAAGTGCTCAATTTTCACCACGAACTAAAATATAGTCTAATCAGCCACACTTACCAACTAAATTTGTGCGATTGACTTTGTTTGCAGGTTACTAATCCATTTGCGATGACGTGTCCCGATTAAGCTTATGTAGCTTGTTTATTATTAAGGCAAGGGATCTGAGCAGAATCCCCGGCACCCTTCGGTTTTCAAGATCGAAACCGCCATTTTAAGGCAAGGGATCTTAGTCGCCGCCTCCTGTTGCCGAGTCTTTAACACCACCACCGGGTAGAGCATCGCCGATACGCCGAAAAATAGCGCCGCCACGAGGAAAAAGAATTTGGATTTGTCCAACATCTCCGAATCTATATCTGCCGAAAGATGGATTTCCGACGGCGAATCATCCTCCGTCGTGCTCAAACTCATTTTCATTCGCCACTTTCTTCAATTCTTCTCAATAATCACTACCACTATTTGTGTTCCTAACACGAAAAACCTAGAAATTACAGAGTCAACAAAAAAGCTCTAAAATTCCTTGGGGGGGAAAATCTAGATTATCTATCTCATAGTAAACAAAACTAAAATAAAAAGCAAAAACTATCATTTTCTGTTCTTTCAAAGCTCTATTAAGGGTTGAGCTCAAATTCTAACAAAATTGTGTACTGAAACGTATATACGGTATATACGGAATTAGAAAGTAAGACAGAAAGAAAATTCTGCGTGCGTATAATCTGTGTGCTCTAGTGATGTGTCTAATTGTTCAGGTAGCATGAAAACCTCGCTGTAAAGAAACGGAGGGATAAATATCTATATATGTGTGTGTGTGTGTGTATATATATATACACGAGGAAGAGGAAAAGATAAGATGTAAAATTGAAGGTACTAGCAGTAAAATTGAAGAACATAGATGGTCGCGGAGGAGAGAGAGTCGAGAACATTTCTTCCCGGATAGAAAGATGAATCTAATTCGACCGGCTGTAGGGAGTCTATCTGTAGATGTGCTAATTTAAATTGTTATTAACAATATTATTTTCCACGTCAACCAGCTGGAGAGGCTGGAGAGGCAACCGGTTAGTAACCTGCAAAAAAAAAAATCAATCAAACAAATTTAGCTGGTAAATATGGCTGATTAGACTATATTTTAGTTCGTGGTGGAATTGAGCATTTCGCGATAATAGATGGGCTTATAAGCCTATTTGACATTTCTCCAAAAATAAAAGTACCTTGAACTTTAGTTTATTAAATTTGTAGTCCTTTAAAAACTCTAAACATATTAAAAAGGTATCAATAAAATTAAAATCTCAAATCTCACCCACAAGTATTTAAATCCATGTGGCGTGTGCAATTACTTTTAATTTGCTTTTTAAAATTTATTTTGGGTACATTGAATATGTAGAAAACGACATACATGGTAGAAAGCTTGTTAGCTCTTACACACGTCTTGACGGTGGAATCGGCAAGGCATGAAATTCCATGCGGAGGTTTCAGGGTTTATGCTCGCAGAGTAGATGAAGAAAGGAGCGCATCGCGACGGTGTAGTTGTCATTAATCCCAGAAATTCACTATATTAACGTTGCTCGAAGGTAATTCAAATCCACTGATTTTACATCATAATTTGTAACGGCAGTTTGTTGCGTAGGCAGCCATGGCCATCAATCAGTTCATAGAATTTGTGAATACTTTATCAGATTTGCATGATATCGATTCTCTGGAAGAATTCTTTTTGTTGATCAGTATTTGCTCTGAATAAAGCTCCTAAATTGAATTAATGAATGAGTTCCCCTTTCTTTTATGCATTCATGCATTGAAGCGGTGGGATTGTTGAACTGCATTCTCGACTGCCAGGTTTAAAGATTGAAAAGTTTCAATCTTTGCAATTTGTGTGACAGCAACTTCAAGAGACTCACGAAGTCAATTTTTTAAAAATGTTTCGTTGGCCAGGGAAAATGGATTTTGTTGTGTAGAATACTTTTTGAGTTAAAGTTCAATAGGCCATGGCTGGATTGGAAGAATTAAAAAAGAAGCTTGTACCACTTTTTGATGCTGAAAAAGGATTCTCATCTGGATCAACATTGGATCCTTCCGACTCATACATGGTAAGTCAATCTCTGTATGTTAACCTTGATTTTAAAATTTAATATTTAATGAATAACTCTTTCTTTATACACAGCTTTCTGATGGGGGTACCTTGAATTTGTTGAGTCAATCATACGGTGTGTACAACTTTAATGAGCTTGGATTGCAAAAGTGCACTTCATGGCCAGTTGATGATGCTGATCATGGTGAAAAGACATATAGGTGTGCTTCACATGAGATGAGGGTTTTTGGAGCCATAGGAAGTGGTGCAAGCAGTGTTGTACAGAGAGCTATTCATATGCCCACTCACAGAATAATTGCCTTGAAGAAGATTAATATCTTTGAGAAGGTTCCTTCGTGTTACTTTTCTAAATCTTGGCTGGTGCTGTAACCTGATCTTAATTTCTTGTAGTCTCTGATTATTAGAAAATTTGTCACATGAACTATTGCTTGCAGTTTTCAATCATGTCATGAATGTATACATGAGCTATTGCTTTCACTTAGATAGCCCTCATTGACCATCTTTCTTTTTCCTTCAAGAAAAAGGGTGAGTTTCTAGTGAATGACTCCTAAAACAAATATTTTATTAGCAATTCCATATCTAATTAGCTTCTAATTAGGCATGATAAATGTTGTATTGATAGAGTACTGCAAATGCTATTGCAATATCCATCTGTGTACTGATCAATGTTGAAAGTCCTGGAGCATGTAATGAATACATTACGAACAATATCTAAGAGAAAAGGTCATGCATTCTACATTTTAAATATAAGAAAAGGCAACTATGCCTTGTGCATTATGTATCTCACATAGATGTCCACTTTTGCACATTAGGAGAAAAGGCAACAGCTTCTTACTGAAATAAGAACCTTGTGTGAGGCACCTTGTTATCAAGGTCTTGTTGAATTCTATGGAGCATTTTATACTCCAGATTCTGGGCAAATAAGCATAGCTCTAGAATACATGGATGGAGGGTCTCTAGCTGATATCATAAGATTACGTAAAGGCATACCAGAACCAATACTATCTTCCATGGTTCAGAAGCTTTTACAAGTAAGGCTTTATCTTCATATTTATTCTTCTGTTTTACTGTATACCATATGCTCTTTGCAGCTATATTTATTGGTGTTTCATTCTTTGTTAAGGGGCTTAGTTATTTGCATGGAGTTCGCCATTTGGTTCACAGAGATATAAAGCCAGCAAATTTACTTGTCAATCTCAAGGGGGAGCCAAAGATAACAGATTTTGGTATAAGTGCTGGTTTAGAGAACTCAATGGCAATGGTTAGTGGATTAACACTTAAATATTCACCTAATTAGTCCTCAACTTTCCACCAAGTGAAAATAAAACACTAAATTTCATGTCTTGGAAGATGAAATCATGTTTTGGTTGTTTTTACTAACTTAATAATCTCTAAACTTTTCCGACAGTGTGCTACCTTTGTTGGTACTGTTACATACATGTCACCTGAAAGAATTCGAAATGAAAACTATTCTTATCCAGCTGACATTTGGAGTCTTGGACTTGCACTTTTTGAATGTGGCACGGGTGAATTCCCATATTCAGCTAATGAAGGGCCTGTTAACCTCATGTTGCAGGTTGTACTTTAAGTTTCCCTTGCACTCTTATAGTCATCCTATGTTATGAGATCATCATTAGTTCATTTTCAATTCTGCATAAGATTGTTGCTACTTCTTATATTCAGAGTTTCAGACTTCTACAAGCGTGTAATTCTGTGTATACGTGATATGCCAAATCTGCATGATACTAGAATTTCTCTTTCCCGCGTTCCCTTTATTAGTCACCATATGCTTGTAAAGACTATAAATAATAATTCAACTGTTCCATGTTTTTGTATGTTACCTTACTATTTATATTTCACTTCTATTTTTAAACAAAAACTATCATGATATGATTTTGCATAATTGCATCTCTCATCTGTTTTTCTGATGCATCCTTTGATGACAGATCCTTGATGATCCTTCTCCGACACTATTGAGCCATGAATTTTCTCCAGAGTTTTGCTCATTTGTTGATGCTTGTCTTCAAAAAAATCCAGATACCAGGCCAACAGCAGAGGAGGTGAGGAAAAAGTTATATCATATATGTGATGTAAATTAGGTATTTGCCATGCTAGAAATGCTGTTGTTTATACTCTTCCTGTAAATGTATTTGTATTTGAAAGTTTACACCATCTTTGTATTCACTTTTGCTACTATTTCTTGGCTAGCTTTTTAAAGCTAGCATTGAATAATCGTACTTATTCCCTTCATCAAGTGATCTAGAACTATTCTGCATAGAAAAGTCTTTTATCCATCCCTTTTGTAGATTATTAAATCTTTTGCTATCTGCCTAACAAAATCTGCCAACATGGATAGTTATATATTTGTTAGGATCCTCTTTGTGAATTTAATTTTGACATATGAGAAATCCATTTATGGTCATGTTATGTTCTGGTTTTCGTTAAAGACCGAATTAGAGTAATCATATCCTAATCATCTCCAGGTTGAAGTTGTTGGTTTAGGCTGCTGGTATTCTGTTCTGGGTACATTTTTTGTTTATTTTATAGTAATTACTATCTGTGAAATGAACGCTTACTGTTCGTTGATCTTTTACTTGCTCATATAATTTTAGCTTCTTTCACACCCATTCATTACCAAGTATGTGGATTCTGGAGTTGACTTGGGTGCATTTGTCAGAAGCATTTTTGATCCAACACAGAAGATGAAGGATCTGGCAGATGTGAGTCGAATAGTTTTCTGTTAGTGGTCCTATATTTACCTATATGCACTCATATTGTTTTTACTAGTAACTAGGGTTTGGTTAATGCACATTCATTTCATGTTGTTGATGTTTATTTAGCTTATTGTTTGTTTTGGTTTGTATTGTCTTCTTCTAGATGTTCACGATACACTACTATTTGTTGTTCGATGGATCAGATGACCTTTGGCAACATACTAGGACACTATATAGAGAATCCTCCATTTTCAGGTAAGAGGAATGTGATATGATATCTCCCATGGCATTTTATTCTATAACCTCAAGATTTAGCCATTGCAAAAAGAAGAAAGTTGAATTAATTTTAATTTGTCTTTTGAGTTAGTAATACGGGTCCTATGACTACTATTATCGAAGCATGTTTGAGTGAGTAAATTTCACTTTTGACCACCTATTTCAATAGCTAAGTCACACTTTTGACCGCTATCTTGAATTTGCACCAAGTTCTATGAAACTATGATAGTAGTGCTCAATAGGTTCTTGAAGTCCTTGTGAGTCTAATTTCAAATGGTAAATTGGTTATCCAATTTCCATTGTGGGCCCAAAATGTTTACCTTTTTATTTTAAAAGATATTGTGGTTGTACACTTGAAGTTTAGTGACAAACTTTACACTTTCCAAAGTCCAAACAATTCAAAATACGTTAACTTACTTTTTTAGCCAATTTGTTCTCACCCAGCATTTAGTTGACTCAAATGTTATGAAATATACAATATCAATTCATTTATCTTAATAGACATGTCAAGTAAACTTAAGATAATTAATTTAGGACAGGTGGATTAATAAAAACTATGATTTTTTTAAAAAAAAAAAAAAAAAAAAAAAACTGTAAATCTACTAACTTGTCTTGTACTCTGTAATTGTTGTACAAAATGAATCTCAGAAAGGAAGGATATGAATTTTCCCCTTTTTGCTTGTACTCATCATATTACAGTTTTTCTGGGAAAGAATCTGTTGGGCCAAATGATATACTTACAACATTATCAAGTATACGAAGTACACTAGCTGGTGAATGGCCTCCAGAAAAGCTTGTGCATGTTGTGGAGAAACTCCAGTGTCGTGCTTATGGTCAAGATGGAGTTGCGATTCGTGTTTCGGGATCATTTATTGTTGGTAACCAGTTTCTCATATGTGGGGATGGTCTACAAGTTGAGGGCATGCCGAATTTTAAAGATCTCTCTCTGGATTTACCCAGCAAGAGAATGGGGACATTTCAGGAGCAGTTCATGATAGAACAGGGAAGTGCCATCGGGCGCTACTTCATAACTAAACAAGAGCTTCATATTGCTCAATAGAGGTAAAGCTGTAATATAATATTATATAAACATGGTTTAACATAGTTCTTGTGACAGCAGTCTGCTGTTCCTACACATTGCAGTTACAATTACTTGTCTATGAAAAATCCATTCGGGACGTGACATCATCTCGCGGTTCTTGCCCGGTTTTTCCCAATCAAGATTTCCCAGATCACCATCTGATATGAATCTGTTGCTGACAATTGTGCCAAGAAGCAAATGTAGGTTTTGGGTTGTACTGGTTGATAATTACCTCATCCCTATGTGCATTACTATAATGTTTTTTCTCAAATTATGCCGTGTGTTGTTGTTGGTCCTTCTTGGGTGGGCTACATTGTCATGTGATGTTTGTATCATTTTATGCAAAAGGGCATTGCCTACTTTAGTCCCAAACTCTCAATTGTGTACATCTTTGGAGAAGGCTAATAAACTCTAGTAATTGTAGTAGTTTGATGGCTCCACAGACAAATGAGCTATTGTTTGAAACAGTAAACTATTGACCTTCTTAGTCTGTGTTGGTCAATTATAAGCAACATAGACTGATTTACCTATTTGTAGTAGTTTGCTAGAGAGAGTTACATGGCGGAGTTTATTCAGTTTTAGTTTTAGATAGTGACTTTAAATTTCTCTCATCACTAAAATAAATATCTTCGTACCTAAGTTGTGTTGGTATTATTTAGAGTAAATACCAATTTTGGTCCAAGAGTATTAACAAAATGACATTTTTAGTCCATATGTTTAATTCTTACTAATTTCATCCACAACTATTGCTTTAGTGTTAAAATCTAAAATGTTAAGGGTATTTTTTGTCCTTTTCAATTTAATATCTCAATTTGAGCATGAATAAAGATATTTGAATTCTAAGACTCCTCATCCTACCTTAATTTGAGGAGGAAAAATGTAAATTGAGATCGATTTTATGACTTAAATTTCTTTATTTATGCTCAAATTATGATCTTAATTTGGAAAGAACAAAAATAGCCCGGCCTGACAGAGCATTTGGGAGGATGTAAATCATGGTGACTCAACTGAACATGAACCATAGAGGCTAGACCGGTGCTCACTGTGCACAAGGAGCCCCCTCACTTTGAGAGGTTGCTCCCACAATGCCGCTAGTGAGACTCAATCCCTGGTCATTCTTTCAAAGTTTCACCTCTATGACCAGTTGAGCTACCCATGCGGGCATATTTCGGCATGTCTTAAACAAATGGATGATGGGCCTAATGAATTTTGGCATATATAATAGTGGTAGATGAGAATTGGTAGTAAAAGAATAGTGAGTTAATACCCAAAATAGTCCCTCGATTATGTCGTAATTACCAATTTGGTCCTCGACTATCATTCTTACCCAATTAAGTCCTCAACTATACATTTTTTATCCAATTTAGTCCTTTGTCAATTTGACTGTTTGTTAACTGTCAAAAGTGGAAATAAAGTTGTAATTTTTCAAGTTTTCTCCTTCCTCCTCATTTAGCAGCGCCAAACCATGTAGCAATAAGCTCCGGTTGGGTTCTAAACCTGTCAGTATCGAAGTAGTAGTTATGCATCGGATAGCCCATGAATTTGATTTCCAACGATTTTTTGACGATCGAAATCTGATCGGAGTGTATTGCTGCATGGTTTGGCGCTGCTAAATGGAGAGGAAGGAGAAATCTTGTAAAATTATAATTTTTTCCCGACTTTTGACAGTCAACAAACAGTCAAATTAATACAGATGACTAAATTGGGTAAGAATTGTATAGTTGAAGACTAAATTGGGTAAGAATTGTATAGTTGAGGACTTAATTGAGTAAAAGTTACATAGTTGAAGACTTAATTGGATAAGAATGGTAGTTGATGACCAAATTAGTAATTATGACATAGTCGAGGGACCATTTTAGGTATTAACTCAAGAATAGTCATGGTCTCGTGGATGAAAATTGGTAGAAATTAAACATTTAGACTAAAATTGTCATTTTGCTAATTCTCGTGGAACCAAAATTGATATTTGCTTTATTATTCACAACAAAAACTGATGTAATTAACAATTAATTAAGTATTTAAGTTATCATAAATCTAGTAGTATACTGATAACAATAGCATAATGCAATGATTATGAGGGTCACAACTCACAACGCAAGCAAGCGTCCTTTTTTGATGGGATTGTTACTTACATTTGGCCATTTGGGTTGGCTGTGTTGAATCGTTTTGATGGTTTTGGTTGATTCGAGGAGAAATATAAAAGATGAATCACAACATTACAAAAAGAGTTAGGTAGAGAGTGAGTAGAAGTTTTACAATTTTGCCATACCGACAATAATAATAATATGACGGTTTACGTGTAAATGATAGCGGTAACAAAAGAAAGGAGGTGAAAGAAGAATCTGATTGAATCTCCATTTCCATCATGTCTATCGTACTCGGTTGTGTTTCATCACCGTTGATTGTAGCGAATGTGAGTCACTCAGTTCCTTTATTCTCTCATCCTTATTTAGGTTTTGACCTTTTTGTTTGTGTGTCACCATATCATTCTCAGCCAAATCGTCGCTGGAATTGGAAATCGGGTAAGAACTCAGTTGGGGTTAAAGCTTGTTTCTTCAACCCAATCCAGGAACAACCTATTCTCAAAGAAGCTCTAAAGGTACTTTCTAATTCTTTGTCTGTTAGTTTTTACTCTGTACCTAAAATGGGTTTCCATTTAATTGTTTGTGTTTTTTTTTTTTTTTTTTTTTTTTTTTTTTCTCATAGAATTTAACAGACAGATGTTGTTTGTTTCTAGTTCTTGTAGATCTATCATCATTTTGAATGCCCAATTGTTTATCTTTGTATATGAGTTGGTTGTTTGTATGAAGGAAGCTATTCAGTAGAGCTGGCCAATTGTATGTACTTCATGTATTGAGTGGTGATTGAGGTAGAGAGTTTAGATAGGAAAGGGGCATAAAATAAAAGCCTTTCATTCTTAGTGTGCGTGGGGATTGAGGCAAATGGAAAGATAAGTTCTTCCCTATTTCTCCATCAACACAGAAAGACAGTTGTCCTTTGCCTTAGGAAGGATCTTCCATGTGTAACAAAAATTCAATTCTTTGTAAAATTTAAAACTCAGCTTAACTAACAAAAGAATCCTTCCCCCAATGGTGGACCCCTAGCAGGTAAGGAGATCGAACGGGTTAGTCAATGCTTAGCTTTAGGCAAAATTCAAAATTTTACTTGGAGAGGGTATAAACCCATTGAGTCTTGAAAACACTCCTAAGATCTTCGATTACATGGATATTTCTCTGGATGAGTGAGGTGACTAGGTCATCGCTGAAAAAGTAAAATAAAATTATAATCTCTACCTATTTATGTGGTTCATATCAAGTGTCCTGCAGCTTAGGGCCATTCTCCACTGCTGCAAGGAATTAGTGGAATAATGCTTTTGAGAACTAAAATAAGGAAAACATCGAGCAAGCACCTGATAGATTAAGATCTGATTGCTAGAATAAGAGGTTCAGGTTGTGCCATCAGAAGTGGGCAAGTGGCTATATGCTGGGTTGGTTTGCCTGCAAATTTTGACTTACAGATACAACAATCATTTATTTTTTAAACTTACTTTTGCCTCGGTTTACCAAATTTGTTCTATGGGTTTGACTTGTTTGATTCACATATTTTTAACTGGAAAATATTGCTGCTCACAAAAACATTTAAATTTAACATTCATCACTGAATTCATCATTAATAAACATTTGAAATGAAATCATGATTAAGCTAAAGCTTTTTATGATTTATAAGAAAGAAAATTTACTGAATAAAGAAGTTTCATTTTTCTCAGTGTGCTTATAATAGGTCAATAGGTTCAGTTCCCATGAATAAATATTGCTAAGTGTGGTTCTCAAATAATTAGGTTTCATGTCTCTCATGGTGAATTGTTAGAAGTTGGGTTCATGGTGTATGGAGACTATTTTGAATTTGCTTGAAACAACTCACTCTCTCTCTCTCTAGTTTTTAAATTTTGTGCAGAGCTGGTTATCTGATATCAAGTTTCTCTTTCTTTCCAGGAGCCCATAGCCTTCATGGGAGGGGTTTTTGCAGGTCTTTTAAGACTTGATCTAAATGAAGATCCTCTCAAGGAATGGGTTACTAAAACTGTGGAGGCTTCGGGAATTACAGCTGAAGAAATTCAGGCCACTGAAATCGAATCAGAAGAAACCCCACAACAGATAGAGATTGAATGATTTTATTCCAATTTACGAATAATAAACCTCTTATAATGTAAAGGGTACATGTTTTTGGTATGTTGTGTTAGAGATTACTGCATCAGATTTACAGCCATCAACATTACTGCATTTCTCCTCACTTAAGCAGTATGTAAATTGTGTGAAAATATCTGGTACGGTTTTCCACTTCAGAGCATAGATTTCAGAGATGACACAACTTTGTGCATCCTAGTTTTGATGCCTTCATCAAGTTTCTGCTCTAGATTTGCCAAAATCTTTGCACATTAGTCCCCAGGCCCGCTCACACTTATGGAAGAATTCTTCGGCACAAATCATCTAAAATGTAAGGATCAATGATTGAAATGGGCAACTTTTTGACAAAAATAGGAAGTTTTTTTTAAATGTATAATATTGGGAAAAATTTATTTGGAACATGTGTTTCTTGTCAAAAATGAATTTTTAAGAATGTCAAAATAACTTTTTTCCCGCTAAAATACAAGAAATGCATGTCCTGTATAATACGAGAAACGATGATTGACATGCGTTTCTCGTATTTATACAAAAAATGCATGTTCTACATGCGTTTCTTGTACTTTTAGCAAAAAAATTATTTTGAATTTTTTAGAAACTCATTTGTGACTTGTGTTTCAAACAAGAAACTCAAGTTCTAAATGAGTTTTTTCCTATATTGTACAACTTTTAAAAGTGTCATATTTTGGTCTCTTCTCCTCCATTTTAGATCATATCTGTCAAAAACCCTAAAATATATATGTATTTCAAAAAGTAAAATACCTTCGTCTCTAGCTTAATAGGATATTAGAGAGATAAATGATGGTGACTCAGTTGCTATTAAGTGAAACTAAATATTTTTACTCGTGCGATGCACAGAATGGATTTGTTGTAATATATTAAGAATATTTGTATCAATATATAATTATTTAAATTATAACATCAAATATTATATAGTACAATTGAAGATGTGGTTTGGATACTTTATATGTTTTGATGTTATCATTGCTTGATTTTGAGCAAATAATTTTTCAAATTAATACCTAATGTGTAGATATATGCATGCGGTGCTGTAACTTTGAAAATTTTATTTATCATTGTTTAGTATTTTTATAAAATAGGCAAACATGCTCGTTCTTTAGCAACTCAATTATAGGAATGAATTGTTATCCTAATTCGTTTGTATGGAAAATATATTTTTTGTCTAGATATATAGCAATTTTGCCATTTAAAAAAAATATATATAAAATCACCAATTGTATTTACACATTATTGAAACCTCATTGTAGACGACATTGGTAGTAGTAACACAATCTTGTTCATCCTCGTCTAGAGCTAACATCTTCAGTCAATCAGGATGAGTGACTTGGGTGAAAATATATAATCGTAAAATATCAGTCAATTAGTGATCCTTTTTATATTTTCAGTCAATTAGTAATATCATATTCATTTTCAGCCAATTATTCTTTGTTATTTTCAGTCAATTAGTCAATTAAAATATCAAATGCAGTGGTATTTTTACCTAATTTCTGTTTCATTTTTAATTGATGATGTAGAATATTATTATTAAAATATTTCCGTTCTATTTTTAATTTACATTTACTATTGTTTAAAATATGCATATACTATTTCCTTCCATTTGTAATTAAAATTCAATAATCTCACAATTTCTATTTTCATTTTAGTCAATTATGGATCATTTTTTATTTGTAGTCAATTATAAATATTCATTTCATTTTATATTTTCAGTCCATTAGTAATATCAAATTCATTTTTAACCAATTATTCTTTTTTTTTTGTTATTATTATTTGCAGTCAATGAGTCTATTAGAAATCAGATGCAATGATATTTTTACCTAATTTTCATTCCATTTTTAATTGATGATGATGTAAAATATTATTATTGAAATATTTACGTTTCATTTTTAATTTTCGTTCCATTTTTAATTTACCTTTACAATTGTTCAAAGTATGCATTTACTATTGATGATGTAGAATATTATTATTGAAATATATTTTTTTATTTTTAATTTACCTTTACTTGTTGATGTAGAATATTATTATTGAAATATTTTCGTTATATTATTAATTTCCGTTCCATTATTTAAAATTGTGAAAAATTTATGAGATAATTGTGATTTGATTTATTCTACTATGTAATATTATTGTGAAAAATTAAAAAATAATGATCTGACCATTTTATTTTCCACTTTAGTCACTTATGAATAGTTTTTTTTCCCAGCCAATTATTAATATTTATTTCCTTTTTCAATTAACATAATTTTTCTTTTTTTTTTCAATTTTTTATTTTTAGTCAATTATTAATATTCATTTTCTTTTCCAATTCACATAATTTTCGTTTCATTTTTATTTGATGATGTAGAATATTATTGTGAAATATTTATGTTCATTTTTTAATTTACATTTACTATTTACTATTCTTTGGGCGGGAAATCAAGTAAATTGGATTTTGTTTTTAATTATAGTATAGATTATTAATATTTATTTCCTTTTCCAATTAACCTAATTTCTGTTCTTTTTTCCATTTTTAATTTTCAGTCAATTATTAATATTCATTTTCTTTTTCATTTTATCTAATTTCTGTTCCATTTTTATTTGATGATGTATAATATTATTGTGAAATATTTATGTTCATTTTTTTAATTTTCGTTCGTTTTTTAATTTACCTTTACTATTTACTATTGTTTGGACGGGAAATCAAGCAAATTGGATTTTGTTTTTAATTATAGTATAGAGTATAAATGAGAAGACTACTGCATGATGTTCACGAGGAGTCCATCACATTTTATGATTTTTAGGCGTATCTCCACATTACAATTATATAGGAACCAACTGAGTTGTCCGTTCACGTATTCTTAACTCGTATGAATAATTGTTTCGTTCTCAACATGAGAAAGAGAACCAACAAATCTCCACGAAATGACCACAAAAAGATAACCTGAACTAAGTTATCCATGCTCAAAATCAAAAGGTCAATAAACAAAGTCTGCTTAGTAATGTTCACATTTTTTTTTAAAAAAACACTTTTTTGTTTCCTTTCATTTTGAGACTTTGAGTACAATAAATAACTTGATTTTAAATTAATCAAAAGAGTTAATTCCAGCAATGGTCCTCCGACTATATTGATTTTTCAAAATTAGTCATTGACTTTTAATTTGGACACTTTAGGTCCTTTGACTTTCAATTTCTTTCCAATTGAGGTCCTTTCGTCAGAATACGGTTAATTGAATTTTAAATGAAGGGGTAAATTCATCATTTCACCTGCCTATGTATTATTGTTAGTATTTCTCCATTGTATACGCGATATATATGAAGATAATCTTAGTCGAAACCCTAAAATGTTCCTCGTCGTTCCCCATTTGCTGACTACTCGTGTGTGCGTTCCTCTATTATTGAGATGTTTACAAGGTATAACAGCGAAATACGAAGAATAATACATAGGCAGATGAAAGGACGAGTTTACCCCTTCATTTAAAGTCTAATGAACCGTATTCTAATGAAGGGACCTCAATTGAAAAGAAATTGAAAATCAAGGGACCTAAAGTGTCCAAATTAAAAGTCGGGGACTAATTTTGGAAAATCACTATAGTCGGAGGACCATTGCTGGAATTAACTCTTAATCAAAATTAATATGTTATCAAATTTAGATTATTAGTGATAGGTGATATGTGGTAAAGTGCAGTAATATCTCAAATTTGAAGGGAACAAATAAATGTTTTTGAAAAGCATGGGGGTCTAAGTAAGAAACGAGAGTTGCATCTGAAGAAGTGAGAGGGCCAGAGGGGGAGGGAGAGGAAGAGAGACACAGGGCGAGCCAGCCAGGGTTTCAAAAATTCAAGGAATCTACAAGCTCAAGTACTATTGTCTCTGCTCTCTCCTTTCGCTTCCTGCAACTTGGGCTTCTGATCTACAGAAGACGGAAATAGTGACTGGCGATCAATTGACTCCTGAAGTGAGCTGATAGGGATTGAAGAAGAGGTACGATAAATTCTGGTAAAATGGATTTGGACCAATGGATAGCGAAGGTGAAAGAGGGTCAGCACTTAGCCGAGGACGAGCTTCAGCTTCTATGCGAATATGTATGTTTTTTTTTTTTTTGTTTTTGTTTTTGTATTTCATCAATCGATTAGGGTTTCTTTTCATTGAATTTATGTTTTCTGCCAATATGATACTTGGAATGTGACTGGTGGTTTGAGGCAGCAGCTAACCAGACAGGAAAATAAAATATTATGCAGTTTCCATTGGATTTGTTTTAAATATTTTTTTTTGGGATTTATATTTCGGGTACATGGTACTGAAATTAGACTACAGAACAGATTTCTTGAGATTCCTTGGTACCACAAGATGAAAGAATTACTTTCACTAATGTATTCATAGGTTGAAAGACGATTTATGGTGTTAGAAGGATGTGCTTCAAGATGGGAGTTCATGGTTTAATGATTTTTCTTTTTGAATTGGATTTGTTGTCTAATATTTGCAAGTATTAGATAGTGAGTAGTTGAATATGCTGCAGACTTGTGAAGTATGTTCTTGATTACTTTGGATGCCCTAGGATCCCTCCCTTTCTAGAAAATGATGCTCCAGGCTCTTCTTTGGAAGTTCTAAGAGCCCGATTGTGTTAAATTCCACACAACTTTTCAATCTTAACCAATTTATGTTCTAAATTATTTGCCAGAATTTATTTTTGCATTCTAGGGTTTAGCTAGGCTTTTCTTAACCATGATCTGGACAACCTGCAGTATATGAAAATTGGTATATCACTAGATCAATTCTTGCCAAGACTAGGACCTCTGAAAAGCATAATTTGCCTCCGGTTTCAAGCAAAATGAAATGAAACTAGTTAATATAACCTACAATTCCAGGTTTTCTGGTACCTAGGATTTCAAACTAGTGGGGGTGGATTTATAAATATAAATACTTGTCTAAATTTGAATGGGAGCAATTACTATAAAGAATAACATAATAGTGTTGTTAACATTATACTCTGTATTATTTTTCCAATGTTTAGTGGGGTAAGTGCCCCCACTTGATCTTTCTTTAAATCTGCCCATGCATAAAGAATTGGATCATAATTCATACATAGTCCTTCTAAATCCATATAATTAAAGTTGCTAGAAGTGGCTATAAGAACTAATGGAATGGATTTTTACAAGCCTGGAAAAAATGGTGCAAGCAGCCTGAACTTGGTTTTCAGTTCAAGCCACTCTATTTTATTTGTGGAACACTCTAGTATGAACCTTAGGATTTCCTGCCATCCCTTTTCAAGCTTTTCTGCAATGTGACACAATTTCTGAAAATATTTTTAATTTCTAATTGAGACATTATTGGCTTACAGAAATTTTATTTATGGAGATTTTTGACTGAGAAAATGTTACATTTCTTTCATGTTTCTGAACTGAATATGTAGCACAGTGGCAGGAAGATTTGGGCTGTTAGTAAGGTGGCATTAGTTGTGCTATACTGGACTCTGTGTCAAGTCATTAATTATGTCATCGATATCTTGGCCTGTTGCTGGGCTCTACCTTGTAGATGTCACGGGTTATTGGTTTGGCATTTAGTATGTCTTTTGCACCTATTCTAGAATGAAGTCATTTTAGGGATTTCTATTGTTTTTGTAACAACAAATGAACAAAGTGCTTCATGCTCAGCATTTGTTTTGGGTTTGCGCAACTTCATTGCACTATACACACAAAATTACCTTTTCAGGTGAAAGAGATCCTAATTGAGGAGTCAAATGTGCAGCCTGTTAATAGTCCAGTTACAGTTTGTGGGGACATACATGGCCAGTTTCATGATTTAATGAAACTTTTCCAGACAGGAGGTCATGTACCAGAAACGAATTATATTTTCATGGTAAGTTTTACGTCCTCATTCTTAAGAAAACTATGATAGTGTACTAGTGTTAGAAATTATCTTTAATTTCTTCTTCTTGGCAGGGTGATTTTGTTGATCGTGGATATAATAGTCTAGAAGTTTTCACGATTCTTTTGCTCCTTAAGGCAAGGTAATATTAGTAGAAGGTTATGACTGTAAAATTTTATCTCATGGCATGTATGCTGGTGCGCACATTCTCCCTTGTATCAATGTACTGTTTGCTTGGACTGACTTTTTTAGAAAATGAAATTAATTTTTATTGTAATATATTTCAAAGAAGTCTTGGCTTGAAATGTGACCAAACTTAAGTAGAGGTCTTCCTGAGTTTGTTGTTAAATTGCAATATCATTAGTTGGGATTACAAGTGCCATTGACCTTTATAGCTGTTTTGCTATGCTTCCTATTTGGCATAGTTGTTCAAACCTATATGCTACTCAGTATTTTCCTCATTTTATTTGCTTCCAGGTATCCAGCTAATATTACTCTTTTACGTGGAAATCATGAAAGCAGGCAACTAACACAGGTAATGGAAATTTAACTTATTCAGTTCTGGTTTCAGGATAGCTAACTCTGTGAAATGTGGGTTGTGCTTTGAAGTTTGTACCCCATCAATCAGATAATACCAAACAATCTCTTCTGTTTTTCAGAGACGCAATGAGGTTGTGCTCATTTTTTGTTTTGTTATTTTAATTATTTTTAATTGCAATACTAGACCTAGAGCAGGAAATCCTACATCTTTTAATAGTTTATTTACTCTAGGGTAGTATATATAGAAATAAATGGAAGAAAACTCAATTAAGCTTTCTTCCAATTTAGTTGGGAATTTGGGATCAGCTGTCCATGAATTGTATCTTTCCATTCAATTCTATGAAGCACTCTTAGTGGCTTCAATCCAAGTATCATCTTCCTTTAATATCTTCTATTTGCAACCAAAATTTGCTGTGATTAACATTAGTGATTGCTGTACCATTCAGGGATGGCTTGATTGGTTAGTTTGTCTTTGATAGAATCAAATACATATCCTTGTTTTATGCCTTGCTGAATCACAGTGAAATTTGACATTGTTTTACAGCTTTGCTTAATGCACATTATGCTTCTCCAGGTTATTTTTGGAGTGAAGAGAGTAGCCAGGCTGGCTGGAACATTGCTGTCTTGTATGATTTAGATTTTGAGTAAAATAACCTAGTTGTTTTTACTTTTTTTTTTTTTTTTTTTTACTAATATGAGAGTACTATTATCCACTTATCATAGTGTTCAGGACTTCCAGCAAGTCATAGGTACTAAATAAGAAGGCATTTTAATCTACTTTGCCATAACTTTGCCTCTTTATCATTTAGTGCTTGATTGGTGTTATATTAATATATTTACCTGTTTTCTCTCATAATAGGATGTATTTACACAATAGAAAGGAAACCTTCCTGAGTTTCTAGTGTCTAATGAGCATTATCTTTTACTTTTCTTTCCATTAAAATAGGTGTATGGTTTCTATGATGAATGCCAAAGGAAGTATGGAAATGCCAACGCTTGGCGGTACTGCACAGATGTTTTTGACTATCTAACTCTATCAGCAATTATAGATGGAACGGTATGTTGTCTCTACCCCCCATCAATTTCTTTGTTACAATAGTAATTGCTTTCGGTACCTCTATACTAAGGCTGCCTCTCATTGTTGCCAGGTCCTATGTGTTCATGGTGGCCTTTCTCCGGATGTCAGAACTGTTGATCAGGTACATTTCATCTTAGACATTGATGACCCTACATTATGCTTCTTCGTTATGAATGACTTCTTGAATTTGTTCATGCACCTGTTCCTTGTAGCTGAATTTTGAATGGGTTGGATCCATTGCTTTACATATTATCCATTGAACCATGAAGAATACATGCTTGCTCTCTTGTCTGTTGAAGGGAATGAAGGCTGAAGATTTGCACATTTATTAGCATAATTGAATTTTAAAATTGACTTTGACTTCAAGAAAGATTATATGCTTTTCCTTTTAGATCTTTGTTTCTTTGTCACACAATGATCCACCTGGAGTAGTTCTTGGTTAAACATTCAATGTTCAATTCTTTCTTCCTTTAAAGAGTTTATATCTGCTATTGCAGATCAGGGTCATCGAGCGCAATTGTGAAATACCCCATGAAGGGCCCTTCTGTGACCTCATGTGGAGTGACCCTGAAGATATTGAAACATGGGCTGTCAGTCCTCGAGGAGCAGGGTGGCTGTTTGGTTCAAGGGTTACATCCGAGGTACATGAAGGTTATGATATGTAAAATTTGTTACTTATCTTGTTTCCACCATTAATACAGTTCTATTTGGGCAGTTTAATCACATCAACAAACTGGATCTCGTTTGTCGGGCCCACCAGCTTGTCCAGGAAGGCCTTAAGTACATGTTTCAAGATAAAGGACTTGTGACTGTAAGCTATTTGTAACTTTGGTTAGCTTGATTTTGTGCTCACTCTTTGTTGGCATGATATATTGATATTTGAATTTGGTCATTGTTCCCTGCAGGTCTGGTCTGCACCTAACTATTGCTATCGGTGTGGGAATGTAGCTTCCATATTGAGCTTCAATGAGAATATGGTACATATGCCCTGTTACATGAGTGAACTACTTAGCATCTATCTCTTTTAGTTTCTATGTTGATGTGTATAACTTATTATATACAGCTAACAGCTGCATTTGAGTTATTTTCTTATGAGCATAACATCGTGGTGCATATTTAAGAAGGCATGGGGGACAATATGTGGTTCATTTACCTACTGGCTTCCTCAAAAGATTCATATCTAGGTTAAATGGTTGGAAAGTGACAGCAGAGTGACAATTGGAGGACATAATAAATGCATTGCACATTTTATTAATTATTAGAAATTCTGGGAGAACTCATTTATTTGCTACGTTTTCTCTATCTATGTAATTTGGATATTGTTTTCCTCCCAAGTTGTAATGTTTGCATATTGTGTGTGTCACAGGAGAGAGAGGTGAAGTTCTTTACTGAAACTGAAGAAAACAACCAGATGAGAGGACCCAGAACAGGAGTTCCTTATTTCTTATGATCGAGTTGACAGACATGCTTGCCTATTGTTATTGACTGCAATACAATCTCCGAACTTGATGCTTCCCCTCATGGGTGGGAAAATTGTTTGCTCGGAATACGTGGCTTGCTTGCTGTTCTAACAAGATACCCACCCACCCTAGCTAGCTCATTGTTTGTGCTCAACAACCTGCTACTCTTATTGATTTTTGAATAGTTTGTGCTGTGTATCTAAGATGAGATGTTTCATAATTATTTTATACTGTGTTCTATTTTTATACTCAACGGACCGGTTGATTCGGATGATTTGGATTAAACGCTCTTAAAAGAATTATTTGGCCGCCATTTTCTGACACTTGAATTTTGTTGTTAAATACTGATACTGATTTTCATAAGGGAATTGCCAATTTTCGATGTCGGATTCGGACGTTATTACTATGGGTGTAAATCAATTCATAAAGTTAGGAAACTTTGTTTTGGTTCAGTCACAATCTGTAGATGTTATGATTCCCAGACGTGTAAATTGACGGACTAATTTTTGGCATTAAATGGAAAATGAGGGTGAGGGTGAGGATGAGTTGCAGTTGCAAATGCAAATTGTAGAAACTTTGAAAAACTAACTTTTAAATTTTATTAGTTGCAAATTGTAGAAACCTTGAAAAAGCTAACTTTTGACTCGTTTTGGATAATTTTTTTTTAAATCGCGTATTTTTTCGAGATCTATCCAATGCAAACTAGGTTAGCGTTTGTTGCGTGAACCATGGCGGAAATGAGCAAGGTGACCAGGATAGGTTATTGACTCGGTTAGTTCGAATGGCCCTGCAGAGGACACACGTAGTATGTCCCAAGGGGAAGAGGATACTGAGTCAGAGATGGAAGGTCTCACAACTGAGGTGAAATGACTGCGTAAGAAGGTGTTGTCGTTGTGTGGGCATATTAACCGGCTTTAGGTCAAGAGCGACTTTGACAATGCTCAAGCCGAAGTAAATGTGGATAACGAGCCCCGAGCTACTGTGGATTCCAGCTTGTTAAAGATCAAGACACATGAGCCTAAGACCTTTGGTGGAGCTCGGAATGCCAAGAAGTTGGAAAGCTTATTGTGGGACATGGACGAGTATTTTAAAGCTGCCAAAGTGGCTGATGGCGAGAAAGTCATGATCGCAACTATATTTCTAACTAGCGATGCCAAGCTTTGGTGGCGGTCCCGGGTGGCTAACGAGTAACGACGGAGTTTAAAACCCAATTCTTTCCCCATAACGTCTCTTGCACGGTATAATGATTGATAATAATTGGTGATTTCCAGTGAAGCCCAATTGATAAACGTACACCTAATACGAAGTTCCTAACCATCTCTCTTATACTCCTTCCTTTTCCCGTCGTTCACTCTCATTTGTCGCATGGCGACGGCAGCTGTGGAATCGGTTCGATCAGTGTTTCGGACGGAAGAAAACGGCGGTGGCGGTGACTCACTGCAAGCGAGGGCGGGGGTTGATCAAGATGAATCATGAATATAATGGAGTGCCCATCCAGCCAGAGATTCTCCGGTACAAGGCCTTTGAACCCATCCTGCTGCTAGGGCAAATCGAAGAAGGACATCCTTGTTCGTTACGACAGGACTTTGCTCGTCGCCGACCCAAGACGGTGTGAGCCCAAAAAGTTCGGTAAAACAAAACAAAACCACCGTATGTATACACTCAATCTTTGCTTTTTTTTTTTTTTTTTTTTTTTTTTCTCGACCTTGAATTGATGGCTTTTTGGGCAGTATATATCATCAGTATTTAAGTTTACCTACTACTTGTAGCTATGTTATGTCTTTACCCCTTTACTCAGTATGAACCCAACCCCCTGGAGAACCTGCGCCTAATCCCACAGTCAACTTTCCAGATTTTCAATGATAATAATGGAAAAGGTGGAGATTATGAGATAGAGTGCAAAATAAACTCATCAAAGAATAGTATTCTTCCAATTGATTATTGAAAACACCACACCCACAATAATATAATGATATTAAAAACAACAACAGTATACATGTTTTAACTAAGGCTTAAGCTTAAACTTACAAGTGCTGGCCTTAATGCTAATGAGACTATTAGTAGATAAGCTATTAACAATGAGCATGCAGTCTCCTAATATCCCAACCTTCATCAACTTCAACCTCCCTACCTTGATTCTTACCGGCATATCAATCTTCAGGTCTAAAGGAACTCTTCCAGTTTGTTGTGCTTCTTGCAGTGCAGACAGCAAGGTGTTACCATACTGTGACTGCCCCGACAGGGCCACCTCTAGCACCGTCGTGTTCTGGTGACCTTGGTACAGTTCCGGCAGTGATCCCTGGCACAGCTTTGTGGTCTTGTACCACACGCTCAACCGGCTCCCTCTCTCGTAGTATATCCCGATTTTCTTGTTGGGATTTTGGGCTGTGATTTTGACGTTGAACTTCGCGTAGAGGCTCAGGTCCAGAGGGTTCACCCTCAAATCTGATATCCTAAGGTTATCCACCGAGTACTTTGGGATCTTAGGTTGGAATATGAGGTAGAGAATGCCGGCACACGCGGCTATAATGATGAAGAGGACAACAATCACACTAACTGTCCACCACATGCACTTGCAACAACAGCTTCTTTTGCTCTTTTGGGGCTGCCATGCTTGAGTAGATGGGTCGCCCTTTTCCGACCGGAAGGACCCTCGGGGGACTAAAGGCCGAGTAGGCGGTGGAGGCGCTTCCACCTCGGGGTGAATTCTTATTCTCTGATGCTCACTCATATTCCTTCCCGCCCCGCCCCACTAACACTGGCAGGCAATTAGAGATACTACTACTTGTATGTTTTCTGACAAATTGTTTTGCTGCAATGTACACTACAAGAAATGGGGGCTCCCTCCCTCCCTCCCTTTTGCACCTTACCTCACCTATATATTTGTCTTAGAGTACAAACAATGGCTTTGTTACGTTGGAGAAGATATTAGGTGGTAAAGTTCATAGGTTCTCCACCTAATAATGAGGCAAAACTTGAGTGGTTGGTCAGCTATATATTACATACACCATTGACTTGCACTAAATTTTTTCCCTACTGTTTTGTTCTAATGCATTTTAAATTTGTATTCATTTGACTTGCCTTTGTTGACGTAACTTTGTAGCCTTGTTTTCTGTTGTCAAATTAATCAATGGTGACTCATGCATATGCTCCATTATCTCATTGGTAGTCAGTGCCTACTGCGTACTGCCTAGCTTAGGGATGACATCCATCATTAATATTACCCACTTACTTCCCTAAATTGTCTTCTCGTTTCTTGCCACATTAGTTTGTTACACACATGTGCAAAGTCAAACAAAGTTTCTTCCTTTGGGGCAACACTACTCAAGCTCTGTTTGGGCCACACCTAACTGAAAGCTGAAAAGTTAGCTCTAATAAACTAAGAGCATGCTCAATAGTGAGATTTTTGTTGTGATTTTTTATGAGTTTTTGTAAGTGTGATTAGAAAAAAGAAGATGGGAAGGAAGATAGAAAAAAAACAATAAAAGCTGATTTAAAAAAAATCAAAATGGATCCCACATTTCTGCAACACGTGTGAGAGAGACCGAGAGAGGCAAACATTATTGGCAAAGTGGATCACACATTTTTGCAAAAATCTCATTATTTGCTGGTGGCATTTTATCTTCTCTCTCTTTGATGTCGGCAAAAATTTTCTCAAAAAGTATGAGAAACCTTCTAATGGGGATGATCTAATTAAAATTAAAGTGTTTAGTAAAATTAATTGTTGAATTCGTTGATAAGTGTAAAAAGACATAAATTAAGATATTAGGATTTTAATTAATGAATAGTAGATTGTGTCATTTTTTGTAAATTAATAAAGATAAAAAGAAAAATAAAAAAGAAGGGAGCTTATTTTGAAATGTTAGTTGGGGACTGTGATAGCGGGCATTTCAAAATAAGCTATTATTTTAAGCAAACTATAAACTCTAGATACGAGTTTCTTTAGATTACTAAAATCGGCTATAAGTTCATAAAAGTTCATATAACAAAATGAGTAGCGTTATTTTTCTTAAATAAAATAATGTTGCTTTAAGTGATTAACTCGCGTGGAGTCCATCAATTCTAAGATAACCAATAAGTATGAAAAGTTGTGACATTTATCTGCAACCAAATACCTCATTTAGATGAAATGTAGCAATTCAAGCCCTAATTTCGTATTCCCATTATGAAAATAGGGGGAAAACAAAAAACAAAAGTTACTTGGGGGGCATGTAGATAACGCAGCGCAAGCATTTTCCTTGTATCATCAAATCAAAAGCTTTGTTTATGTCTTCAAATGGCAGATTGTGTGTGATCAGCTCATCAATCTGGATTTCCTGTACGGCACCAAACAGAAATACATAAATAAAACCAATTATTACTTGTTCATACACAACAATGAACAATCTAGTAAACCAGAGCTTCCAACAACAATATCACATGCATGTTAGTTCCATTTACACATATCAAAATAACAGATTCTAACAGTTATTTTCATAAACTAGTTTGAAATTTCAGGTTGATGTGGGTATCATTTCATTGTATCTAACCCAAAGCCAACGGGTTTCAAGTAGTCCGTCCATATAATTGAAGCGGTTCAAGTTGAGAATGCAAGCAAGGTGGCAATCAATCAAACCTTGTTCATGTACATGTCAACTAATGATGGAATCTCGGACTTGGGTTTCCAGCCACCAAAAAGAGATCCTGTTAATTTTCTGCCCATAAGAAAAAATCGAAAGTGACCACTTATCTCTGGCTTTGTCTTTGGCACTCCAAGAGTCACCGTCAAGCCCCATCCCTATGAGAGATAAAATGGAAGAAACTTTGAGCGGGAATTGAATAGGAGGAAAAGTATTTATCAGTGAATGTCGTCAAGAGTGCATAATCTGATATTATTCTGGAACTTACATCACAACAAGACTGCAAAGCAGTGGTTACCATTTCCGTGTCTCCTATACATTCAAATGAGAAGTCTGCCCCTCCATCAGTCATACGTTTTATTACCTGAAAAGGAAACAAATATCTTGCATTCATTACTGGAAGATGAAAAGAAAGTATAATCTGCATTAATTAAGGGAGACAAACTTAACGAGAGCTTATTATAACATAACAAGTGACGCTAAACTGATCTTCTTTGCTACATATCAAATCAAATCCAATATGGAAGTAGAATACCTGTTGAATAGGTTCATCAGAGTCATTTGGGTTCAAAAAATCCGTTACTCCAAAATCCTTGGCTATAAACAAATCAAGAGTCAAACTTTGCAGCATTTTTTTCGCGTATCAGTGAATGGTATCTATCTCATAAGCCATACCTATGTCTCTCTTGTGTGGATTAATGTCCACGCCAATTATTTGAGATGCTCCCCGTAGTTTAGCACCTTGGGCAACCTATTAATGGAAGAACGCCATCAAGTATCACTGCCGAGTAAAGGTTAAAACTGTAAATACTACTACTAATATGGCATGAAGAAGTTACTGAAAGAACTCACAGAAAGTCCCACAGTTCCAAGACCAAAAATAGCAACTTTTGATCCTTGAGAAACATTAGCAACCTTCCAAGCAGCACCAAGACCTAATAATCACAGCAAGACTTTATGCTAAGTGACCACGGAAGAGATGATTAGTAACAAAAAATTGCAACTCACAATCCTGTTTAGTTACACAAAATGTTTTTAATTCTCCATTAGAAGACATGTTCAAGTTAAATTATTGGATAACCTAAAAGCCATTATGAAAACACAAACAAACTTTTATGTTATTTAAATTTCAAGTTGGGTTTGCAATTCAATATGGTTGAGTTTCGTATCATCCAAAAATTGCATATCCAGCACCCCTTGTAGTGGATCTGTGGAAGTGGTATGCAATATATGGGCCATAACAATGATTATTGGATAGTTAGCAATTTTGAGATGATCATTACTAACAAATTTATAGTAGTAAGCATTTGTAGCCTTCTGACGATCTAAACTAACTAACCTGTTCACTAGAAGAAGACTCTTTTTCACTTTAATACATGTCTAATGTGTGTGTACCACTTGCTTTGCTTTAACATTTGTGTTTGAAGTTACTTGTACATAAATTTGTGGACTAATTCATTCATATGCAAAGAGATTATGATAGTGAAATTACCTGTGGCTGCACCACAACTTAGGATGCAGATTTTGTCTAAGGGAGCAAGTGGATTAACCTTGACAGCACAACCAGAATGTACAACCGTATATTCACTAAAACTCGAAACTGCACAATAATGATACACAGGTTTCCCTTTTACAAAGAAGCGTGTCTTCTGGTCACTGTGCATAACTCCTTTGTGTTCCAATCCAAGAACTTGACAAATGTTGCTTTTGCCGGAAATGCAATGTTTGCATCTCATACACTCTCCAGTAAACAATGTAAGCACACGGTCCCCTTCACCAAATTCTGTCACTCCTTGCCCGACACTCTCCACAATCCTGAAAACATTATTTAATAGCAGTATAAATAAATAAATAAATTTGTACAAGCATTCATTCAAGCAAACCAAGAATTTATTTAAGGAAGAGAAATATATATACAAACCCTGATGCTTCGTGGCCAAAAATCCGAGGATAAATAGACGGATGCGCCTGAGAGAGCCAGGCAGTGACATCACTGCGACAGAGGGAAGTGTAAACAACCTTAATCCTGATTTCCATAGGCTGAGGAGGACTCACCTCCACCTCCTCAATCACCATTGCCTCTCCTGGGCCCCATGCCACTGCAGCTGCATATATACCAATGATTTAAGATCCGTTTTCAGTATAGTGAAGGTTCATTTTTAATACATTCAATGTCCATTTTTTGTGTACTAAAGATTCATTATTTGGTATACTACCAGAAAATGAATTTTGAGTAAAGTTCATTAAAAATGAACATTTATGTATGCAATGTGGTCATGGTCCATAGCATAATTTGCCCATATATTGTTTATAGTTTCAAGCATAAGCCAACATTTTTAATTCAACTGTTCTTGCAAATTAAAAAAAAAAAAAAGAAAAAGAAAAGAGAGAGAGAGATTACTTACCATCACAAACCAAACTCAATTAGCAGACGGTTGTTGCAATTAAATCAAGATTATTGAGTCCCACAAATCCAATTTAATTAGCGCAATTACTGAATATCTACTACAGTACAGTAAAGGTAACCACTAAGCAGTATAATAAATCAAACAACAAAGATTCTTGACTTCCACAATACAAATGATCTGATGGGGGAGGCACAAACAAGATCCTAGCCCTAGGTTGTTTATGCAACATAGATGGAAGGAAAGTGAAGAAGAAGAAGAAGAGGCAAAAGTAAATTACTGTATTAATTACCTACCTTTGCAGGTGATTACACCTGGTTGAGGTTTGGTTGATGAATCGAAATGGGACATTATATTATTATTGTTATTCTTTCTACTTTCTCTCTTCTGTTATGAAAACACAAAAATCAGTGTGTTTTCTCAATTTCCTTTCCTTCCCTTTCCTTTTTCCTCTCTGCACCCTCCAATGTTGTGATTTTTTTTAAAGAAATTGAGATTTATTAGGGTAGGTGGTGGACTTGCGACTGCGGTTGAAATCGTGGTAGTTGGTGGACTTGCGGTTTGTTTTGTATGACTACCCAACCAACCAACCCCCAATTCGATTAGGGCATCACCCGGGAGGGTTTCCCCCGACCGTTGAGGGTGAGGCATCAATTTTGATTTTTTGAATTTTTTATTTTATATACATACCTAACTCTCTCAATTTTTTGAGTAACTTTTAATTTTGGTCATGTGACTATAGAGGTTCTGTTAATTGCAGTTCATCGATTTTTAAAAGTGTTAATTTAATACATTAGTTATGCAATTTTTATACATTTTGATCACTCTAGTCAAATTTCGACAAAAAATTTAATAGTTAAAATAATAGGAATATTTTAGTCTTTTTCATCTTTTTTAAATTTAATAGTTAAAATAATAGGAATATTTTAGTCTTTTTTATCTTTTTTTTTATCTCCCCATTTCTTGACCGGATTTGTGAAAATCCGTCGGAAAAGAAGATTCCCTATCAAATTCGGCGGAAAAGAAGTGACGGTAATAATGTTACCGGAAATATATTGTAAAGTGACGAATAAGAAAGTGACAATAGTTGTATTGCCTTTTGTCTCAGTATAGAAAGTACAGTGTCCTCCACCTTGCTAGCTGAGGGGAGTTTTATTTATGCTAAGTCCTAACGGTAACAACATGAAGAGTCATAATTGGGGAGCTGAGGCTAACGGCAATAGCATGAAGAATCATGAATGAGGCGCTCAGCTTTAATTCTCTCCCTTCAATGCAATGAATGGCCATAATGTTTCCACCCGTTGGTGTTCTGCCCGTTGGAGTTCTGCCTGTTGGAATTCCACACGATGTCGGGTTAAATATGGTGTCGGGTCAGGTGCTGTTTATGATCCGGGTCGGGTGCCAGCACCATTATCCTGTCACCAGTCCCCCTACTCCTGAGTCTACAGATGTGTTTGAGTTGACTTGGGAGTAAGGCTGAATTTGCTTGATATCGTGCCCGGTTGATCCCGAGCATGTGATTTTATTTTCCAAATCACACATGAATTTTTTTTTATTTTAATTTTTTTTTTTATGCTGGCCGAGACGGGCTGCGGCTTAGGCTGGCCGAGGTGCCTGCCTCCGGCCGATCACGGCCGAGGCGTGCACACCGGCCGATCGTTCGTGGCCGAGGCGTCGCCTCGACCGCTCGTGGCCGAGGTGTGCACCTCGGTCGACCGTGGCCGAGGCGTCGCCTTGGCCGATCGCGGTTGAGGCGTCGCGTAGACCGACCGTGGCCGAGGCGTGCGCCTTGGCCGATCGTGGTCGAAGCGTCGCCTCGACCGATCGTGGCCGAGGCGTGCGCCTTGGCCGATCGTGGTCGAAGCGTCGCCTCGACCGATCGTGGCCGAGGCGAGCTCTGGCCTTTTTTTTTTTTTTTTTTTTTTTTTTGGATCGAGGCGCCTCGCCTCGGCCTTGGCTGAGTCGCGGCCTCAGCCATCTGGCCGAGGCGTCGCCTCGACCAGAACGCCGAGACGTGCGCCTCGGCCTGTGGCTGAGGCACTGCCCGACCATTTTTTTTTTCTTTTTTTTTTTTGGATCGAGGCGTCGCCTCGACCAGGAGGCCGAGACGTGCGCCTCGGCCTGTGGCTGAGGCGCTGCCCGACCATTTTTTTTTTTTTAGATCGAGGCGCCGCGCCTCGGCCTTGGCTGAGGCGCGGCCTCAGCCATCTGGTCGAGGCGACAAGGCCGAGAAGTGCGCCTCGGCCTGTGGCGGAGGCGCTGCCCGACCCTTTTTTTTTTTTTCCTGCCGAGGTGGACTTCAGCTCTTCGGCCACCCGAGTTTTGTCTCGGCCAACCCGTGGCCGAGGACTCGGTTCTCTATTTTTTATTTTATTTTATCTTATTTTATTATTTATTTATTTATTTATTTATTTTTTACAATGCGGCGTCGGCTGGCTTTTGGTTGATCGAAGGTGGTGTTGAGAACCTTTTATTTGAGCAAAGTAACCTGGGCAGACCATGATTACAAAATATTGTTTACAGGTCTGGGCGGACCACGACTACAAAGTATTACTAATAATATCTAACTAAATGTTCTGAGCTCTATACCCGATCGGTCATCCTTGCAGATGGTGTGGACTTGTAGATCCTTTCTGCCAATCTTTTTGCATGCTTTTACGTAACAACTGCGGGCTGCTCGCTGGTCTCCTTTGACGATTCCTACCCCATTCGGAGTATGGAACTTCATAAACAAGTGTTCCACCGACACTATGGCTTTGAGGTCCTCCAGTGCCGGCCTCCCCAATATGATGTTGTGCGCACAAGCGAGTCTTACCACGATGAATTCTACGTCAAGTTTGCGAATGTTAGGGCTCGTGCCTATCTCCACTGGCAAGACCACTGACCTCTCTGTCTCCACTGAATCACCCGTAAATCCAGAGAGTGGGGTACGTACTTCTTTGAGCTGGTTCCTAGGTATCCCTAACTTGGTGAAGGCATCGTAATACATCACATTGACTGAGCTTCCTGTGTCGATTAAGATGCGGTGGACCATGACATCGTTGACGTCCATCTTAATCACCAGGGCGTCACGATGGGGTAACGGGCCTTCTGGGAGGTCATCATTAGAGAAGGTGATGGCCTCCTGTCTCTGTTTCTTTTCTCTAGGAAGAATCACCACTTCTCCCACGTATAGCTGCCGGCTCCACTTCTTTCTTTCCGCAGGCGTGTCGCCCCTTGCGGGTCCACCATAGATAAAGAAAGTGTATGGTGTGCTTCTTTTGTCGTCTGGGCGCCACCTCGGTTTCTTTCTCGCTATCATTCTGCTTAGATATTTGGTTGTGTTCTCTTTTTTTTGGCGTTCGAGGTGGGCGGCTCTGTGCCATCCTCATTCCTCCAGACATTTTTTGGTGGATTGTGTTGCGGCTGTTGCTGCTGCTTAGATCGCTTGACGAAATGTCGGAAGTAGCCCTGCTGGATGAGTTCTTCTATTTGTCTCTTCAAAACGTGACACTCATCCGTATCGTGGCCGGTTTGCCTATGGAACCTGCAGTACTTTGTTTGGTCCGCCTTCGGGGAGACCTTCATGCACTCCTCGGGGAATTCTACCATTCCCATCTCCTCAGCTTGCTTTAGAATGACACTGACGGGATGGGTAAGAGGAGTTAGATTACGCAAGGAAACCAGGCGAGGTCGTTCGTGGTCTCGGCCTTTCCCTGCGGTCGGGTGGTTCGAGAGTGGTGCCTGGCTGGGCGGACCCGCTTTCCCAGGCTTCCCACCTTTCCTTCCATCCTCTTCGTCCCCCTTCTTCCTGTCGACGTGCTCTGCTTCGGCATAAAGGCTAGCCGTCCTTATCAGATCTTCGTAAGAGCGGGGGTGGTGGGCGTTCAACTGCTTGTGGAAATACCCTGATCTTAAGGCATGGATAAATATCGGGATCGCCGCCTTGGAGTCGAAGTCGTAGACATTATTGACTTCCTTTTTCCACTTTATCAGGAAGTCTTTGGGGCTCTCGCCTCTATCTTGCTTCACTACACAGAGGTGAGAGAAGGGTTTCTTACGCTGTATGTTACCGGAGAAGTATGTCAGGAAGCTCTTGGACAACTCCCCAAAGTTTTGGATCGACCCATCAGGGATGGTGTTGAACCAGTCTTGGGCCGCTCCATCCAGGGTGGACAAGAACGCTCGGCACATGATGGCGTCCCCTGCCCCGATCATTACCATAGCAGCCTTGTACCTCGTCATGTGGACGCGTGGGTCAGTGACTCCCGTGTACTCCTTGATGGCGGGCAACCTAAAGTCCCTCGGCCAAGGTATGTCCATGATGCTTGGGGAGAATGGTGCTGCCATCCGTACCTCGGGTTCCGGCGACTGCTCCCGTGCCTCCACCCTTCTTGCTAACTCCTCGATTCTTCTCTGCAGCCTCTAGAACAGGGCCGACTCGTCAGGGTGCCGGCACGGGGCCGGCTGCCGTTCCTCCAAGTGTCGGTGTGGAACCCGGTCATCAACGCGTAGCTTCCCCGCCGAGTGCCGACGCGGAGCCGGCTCTTCGACGTGTCGCTCCTCCAAGTGTCGACGTAAGGCCGACTCATCAACGTGTTGGCGTGGGGTCGGCTCCCGAGACTCGCCCACCTCCTCTGTGGGTGATCTCTCGGCTTCTCTGTTTTCGTGTTGGCGAGGGCCTCTGGTAGAGGACCCCTCGGCCCGTGATCCTAATCTTTGTCGCACGGGCGCCCTCTGTCCCAATCGTTCTGGTGCAGATTGGGAAGGGCCTGGTTGTTGTCTGGCCGGTCCACTTCTTTGGGTCTCCACCCCTATTTCCTGGGGCCGCGGGGGCACTTGGCCTTGTAGTCCCACCGCCACCTGATTTAGCGCCGCCGTCACTGCTTGCTGAATGACATCGGCGGTCGCCTGGTCTTGGAGGTCACCTGAGGCATTGCCATTGTTCACGTTGCGGGAACCGTGGGAGCTGCGGGACACCATTCTATCAAGCTTGCTGTTGAAAGAGGAAAAGAGTTGTGTGTGTCGTCGCCTGCTTGAGTGTTGGACTCAGGCTCTCAATGAAAGCACCAATGACGGTAATAATGTTACCGGAAATATATTGTAAAGTGACGAATAAGAAAGTGACAATAGTTGTATTGCCTTTTGTCTCAGTATAGAAAGTACAGTGTCCTCCACCTTGCTAGCTGAGGGGAGTTCTATTTATGCTAAGTCCTAATGGTAACAACATGAAGAGTCATAATTGGGGAGCTGAGGCTAACGGCAATAGCATGAAGAATCATGAATGAGGCGCTCAGCTTTAATTCTCTCCCTTCAATGCAATGAATGGCCATAATGTTTCCACCCGTTGGTGTTCTGCCTGTTGGAATTCCACACGATGTCAGGTTAAATATGGTGTCGGGTCAGGTGCTGTTTATGATCCGGGTCGGGTGCCATCACCATTATCCTGTCAAGCAGATTCCCGTCAGCATCCTGCCACTGCAGTTTGATGTGCCACAAGAAATGGGGATGTTATAATTTAAGATTGGGTCATGCCTTATAAACCTATATGTTATTGGTTTAAGATTGG